TCTAATTGAAAGATTCCCACTGGGTATTTTTGTTACCCTTGAAAGCCACTAATTTATTTCCCTGAGATGCATGAAATGTCCATATTTTTTAGCATGATCTGTGAAGCACCTCATTCCTGTGACTCGTAAATGCAACTTTTTATTCTTTGCCCTTCCTGAAACGAAGTATTATACCTGGCGATTCATGATTTTCATGATTTTCAACAGCATTGTCAGTGAGATATGCATTAAGTTTTGCATACTGTGATTTTTTAATTGACTTTATTTCCCGTCAACTGTGATCACCCCTCCCCAATGCTACCCTCAATTAAGAAAAGAAAGTAAAAACAAAATGCATTTAATTACACAAAATAAAATATTTTATTGTAAAATTAAGAGAATAACATTTGAAGTTTTTAACTGGCTGCTACAGAAGCAATAGTAGTTCTGCAATGATGACCCTGAAAAATGAGAAGATGAAAATATTAAAATATAATTCAGTTAAAATGTATTATCTTAAAATGTTGACAGTAACTCTCTGACCAGCAGCTTCCGGCTGCTATCATATAATTACTGTACAGGTTTTACCAGCTGTTTGACATAAGAGTACCTCTTAAAAACTGAAAGTTTACTTAGTTATGATGCCATCAAAACAAGGAAACAAACAAAAGAACTTCCTTGTGACTGTATAATGAATCTGTTCTTTTTTAAAATGCTGTCAAATTTCTAAATATCGAGAGTGATTAGATTTATTCAATAACAACAACAAAAATAACAACAACAATAATAATAATAACTATTTATGTTCTTGATCTTCGTCTGAAGCAAGACGTGAAGAGACTTAAAAATCTTCTCCACCTAGATGGGGGTCTGTCCTTGGGAACTGAAATATATGACACAATATTACCTAACTAATATGCAATAATATATAACCTTCAATATGTAGTCATTGCACCATATTATTTAATACATGCAACTGTACTGAAAATCTTTTACAATTATTAAAAATAAAATAAATTAGACAATTAAAACAGTACTTGTAAAAAGGCCATACACATCAATACGCAGTGTGTGTGTGTGTGTGTGTGTGTGTGTGCGCATGCTTGCAAGTTGCATGCACAATCACATTCCATCAGTGTAATAAATAAATCCCTATTCTATTGACCCTGATATCTTACCTATCTCCTTCACGTCCTCTGTCACAGTTGTTGTGTCTTTGATATTGACTGAAGAAAGACAGGAAAACAAATTAAACATCCCATACATGTGCACAACAAAGATTAAACACATTACTGAACATAGTCAAAGATACATTGAAAGACGTAGATAACTGAACAGTGAATTTTAACTCAGTGTTTGTGCATAAGAGTCTCCACCCTAAAGTCCATCTGTGTGTTTACATTTTTTAAGTGTGTTAAATGAATTCCTGTTAAATTGCCCTTACAGTCTTACCTTTTTCTTTGATGCCCTCAGCATCTGACACACTCTCTGTGTCTTTGATATCAGCTGAAGAAAAAATGATATCAAATAAAATTTTAACATTCTATATCTGTGCATGTTCAAATAGGATTCAGCATTACAATTTGTTAAGAACGTTCAAAGATTTCATTGATTTTAAAAATTATCTTCTTAAGTATGCTAAAGACCAGACTTTGTTTGAGCAACATGATTGTGGTGTGTATAAGTGTGTGTGTGTGTGTGTGTATGTGTGTGTGTGTGTGTGTGCATGCAGTTGTCATAAGTATATCAAAATTCACAATTACTTTACTGAGATTCCAGCCTTACCTAGCTCCTCAATACTTAGGGTCTTAACAATTGCTACATTGTTCTCTTCTTTGGTATCACCTGAAAGAACAGAATTGAATTTTAAGGAATACCAAGTGTGTTCAATAATTACACAGCAAGAGCATTAATTTTTCTAAAGATAAAGTATCTTCTTACGACTGTCAAAGGCCAGACATACTGTGCAACATAGTGTGCATGTACATGTGTGTGTGTGTGTATGTGGTAATGTGTGTGTATGTGTGTGTGCACATGTGTTTTATGTGTATATGAAAGTCATAATTATTTTACTGAGATTCAAGTCTTATCTATCTCTTTAGTGTTAGGATTCTTTACAATTGTTACTCTGTTGGTATCAGCTGAAACATGAGAATTGAATTGAAATCTAAGGAAACACAATACATGTATTTGTTTTGTCTAAACTTAACACATCAAATACATCATGGCATTGAGTAAAATATAGTAAACCTGGTGATTCTGGATGTTGGAGACAAAAGGGGGGTGTTAGTGTGTTAATTTGATTGTATTCAGCGAGAGTTTCCATGGAGTTCGTACATATTAGCTAGGTCTTCAAATTCATTGTCAACAGGCCCTAAATCCTTGCTAGTATATTAAAAAATGCACCAAGTTGATTCCTAAATCTCCTAAATTATTGTCTTGAATAGAGCAATACAATTATATAATGCAATTCACTTACCACTGGTGTAGACTTCAGGCTCGTACATGTAGTTCAACTCTGGAAAAAGATGTCACATTTATTTGCCATTCACAAATTATGATATAGATAAAAGTATAGTCTAAAATGTATTTGACAGAATTAAAGGACCATTTCATCATTTCTATTCACAGGTTATATTTCATAGGATTAAAAGATCAAGTAATCTGTTTTACCATACATTATACATGACAAAATTAAAAGTTTTTTCACCTTTTATTTC